AGAGCACTGACTGCTCTTGCAGAGGACCCGGGTTTGATTCCCAGCACCCACATGGTGGCTACAAACCATCCTTAACTCCAGTTCCAGGGGAATCTTCTTCTTCTTCTGACCTCCGCAGCATTGCACGACACAGCATTCACATGCATGCAGGCAATACACTCATACACGTAAAATAAATAAATAAATAAATAAATAAATAAATATTATTAAAAAGAAAAGAAAAAAGAAAAGATGTACATCAAGCGCTCTCAAAGGTGAGAGAGGCCAGGCAAAAAATACATAGCTGAAAAATGAACAAATATATGCACAGAGAGTTTACAAACAAATAAAAAAAATTAGGGCCAGCTTACCCTGATTAAAGGTTCTTGACACCAAGCCCGATTACTTAAGTTCAATCCCTGGAACCATCACTGTGGAAAGAGAAAATGGACTCCAGAAAGTTGTCCTCTGACCTCTACAAGCTTTCCCTGGCATGTATGCCCTCCTCCCAACACACACAAAATAAATAAATAAATAAAAGTAACTATTACTGAGGGTGTAATTCTGTGGTAGAGTACTTGTCTAGTATACGCAAGATCCTAGGTTTGATCTCAAGTGCTGAAAACCTGGGAACATTCAAGGTTAATCACAACAAAAAAATACAGATTAAAACTATAGTAAGTCAGACATAGTAGGGCATACTTATAATCCCAACAGTCAGGAGGCCAAGGCAGGAGGATCGTAAGTTCAAGGCCAGCCTGAGCTACATAGAAGAACTATATTTCAGAAAAACATAAAACAAACTAATAATCTCTTCCTTTGTAGACTGGGCAAAAGTTATAACAAACAACACATTAGAAAACACAGACACTCTCATATATTCTTGATAGAAATGTGTTACATGATTTTTTTCCCTGAAGTGTCTATTTCTATTCACCCCAGATAGGGCAACAGCAGACCAAAGAAATGATTCCATCAAGTCTAGCTTTGTGAACTAATGAGATTGACTGGAGTTACTTGCAAGAAGTTATGGGAGCATAGGCAACTTACAGGGAGCTACACCATGAAGAATGCAATATAATTATATTGATAAGTTTACTTGTACTGTTTATGTTTATTGAAAACAGACTCTGGGGGTGAGGAGGACTCCCTTGTCCCAGACTCCAACATATTTACTGGCATGTTCTCCAAAACTCCCTGTCCTGGAGTAAGTTGAACCCCCTAATTCTGAGACAGAGAAAAAGGAAAACAGCAAACATCTAAGGTATTAAAATACTGTGTCCTTGAGAACAGTTGGAAGGTAGACCACAACCACTCATTCCTGTCTACTGCCTTTGCTTGTGCTAACAGTATACCATATACTAGATAGCTAAGGATATGGACAGTATCCCATACATTAGTGACTTCCAACACAAATGGGCATCAAGAGTTCTGAGGCACACAGCTATTCAGCCAGTCTTTCAAAGATCCTAGCTTACTCAAGTCTCTTGAGCTTTCCTGTCTGAATCCCATGATGATCTCTTTTTTTTAATCAAATTATATAAATGATGGACAACTTAAACAAGATGGATTATGATGGTGCAGTAGTATCCTAGGAGCCCCCAAAACACCTACAGTTGTTTTACATTCACAGACACAGGCTGGTGTAGGATTTTCTCAAAAAGCTTGTCAAGTATGATACACGTCTTACCTGATTATCATTCACTAAAGAATTTAACAGCTGTACCTGCTCCTCACACCTTGTATGAATTAACTTCCCATCCTCATTTCTATAGGTATAGTTGCACATCTTCAAAATGCTTTTCTAATTCTGTAAGACTCTCAAAGGGTAACAGTATATAATCTACATAATGAAACCTTTTAAAGAGGGTTTTCAGGATAACAAAGAAATATCTCAGGCTATCATCCCATGACACACGGTGGGACTATGAAGACATCCTTGAAGACGTACTGTAAAGATGAAATGCCATCCACTAGGGTCTTTAGGAGTAAAAGCTAAAGGAATACTTTAAAAAGTGCTAATATTGTCCAAAGCAGCACAAAATGCCCCCATTACCTATCAGCATTAATTATTCTGCCAAACGAGCAATGCTGGGTACAGTAGCATGGATGAGAGGCACAACTTCCTTCAGCTCTGTATAATCCATGGTCATTTTCTATGAGCCATCTGGTTTATTTACTGGCCACATGAGACCTTTGGGCTAGGCAAATAATCTCTACATTTTCCAATTACTTGATGATTTCTGTAATTTCATCATATTCCTCATGCTGCATATATTGCCTGGTATTTACTACCTTTAAGAGGGTGGTAGCTATGTAGTCACCCAATTCATCTAACTACATATTACTATCTTAAAAGTCTCACCCTCAGGAGAAACTCTCAAATCATGGTATGCAGGGTGTATACCAGCAGTACATCCATCTCCAGTATATTTTTTGGCAAGAGAGAAATGTCCACAGAATACTCTAATGAGAGATAATTGCCCACTTTTGGGACAAGCTTAGTCCTTTCTACCTGTAATGTTCTATCTTTATATCCATCCATTGCCATCTATCACCCCAGTGCTTTTGGAAATTGTCATTAATTAATGCACATTCAGTTCCTGTTTCCACTAAAGCCCAAGTGTTTCAGACATTCATAGGGGACTCAAAAAAATCCACACTTCAACATGGGATCTCAAGGTGCCTTCTCTGGTCTTCAGTTGGAAGCAAACTTAGCTACCTACCCCTTTAGAGGAAGGGTTGGGATGGCTCTCATCAAAGGACATCTCCTCATTCTCAGCAGGGGGTGCAATGGGGAACACTTGGGCCTCTTCCACCCTTTTAATGAACGATTATTTGGGCTTTAAAGCACTCCAAAGGTTCACAAGCACTGAATTTGGGTTCCTATAAATATTTTCCCCCTAAAGGCTCTAGCTTGACACATTCCTGCCATTTTTGTCCTACAGTGGCCAATATAGACCCCATCATCTGTTTTCCCTCCTGACTCACAAACCTGATTTATATACTAGCTCTTATATTAACTTTTCCTAGGGAGATATAAACAAATATACTTTTGTCCTAGATAGGGCACCAATGACATCAGTGAAATGATTCCACCCAAGTCTAGACTGTTTTTCTTGATTTGGAAGAGGCTAGCTGCCATGTTGTAAGATCCCAGCAGTCCAACATTCATATGTACAAGGTGAATGAGGAATCCAGCCAACAGCCACTGAGTGAGCTTCTTCTGTGTGGCTGCCCCTGTACCAGTCAGCCAGATGTAACTAACATCTTAACTGCTGTCTCTGGAGAGATCTCAGTCCAGCTAAATTACTCCTAAATACCTGACTGCAGAAACTAGAAGATACTATAGTCTCACTTTAAGTCACTAAACTTAAGGTAATTAGTTAATATATTATACTATACAATAGGAAAATAATTTAAAAGTAATTCTAGAAAAACAATTATTGCTTTCAAACATGTCAACATAATGAAAAACAACAAAAGTTACAACTAAATTCTATACCTAGGGTTGGGGAGGGAGGGCTAAGTCACTAAAAGTGCTTACTATACAAGCATAAGGACCTGAGTTCAGATCCCCAGAACTCAGCTAAAAAGCTGGATCCAGTTCACTCATAATTCCAGCACAAGGGAGAAACTAAGACAAGAAAATTCCTGGCGCTTCTGGCCAGCCAGCCTAACAGAATCAGTAAGATTCGGGTTCAGTGAGAGACCTTGTCTCAAAAACCAAGGTGGAGAGCAGGTGACATTGACCTCTGACCTCCAAACACACCTGCATGCACTTATATGCAAACACACAAATGTGTAAATCCACATATATTCCCCCCCACACAAATTCCACACCCCAAGAAATTGAATTAAAGAAAAGAGAACTGAGAATCAAATACAAACCACGATTCTGAAAGAAACTTACTGCTGTTTTGCCATAACAAAGAATATTGAGATGATCATCAAAATTCGAATACAATAAAAAATTATGAAATAGCACTACAAGTTAGTGTCTTGTTATCACTGTGTTATAGTCATGAAATACAATGTCCTTATGTTTAAGAACTACACATTGAAATGTTTAAAGGAGAGATAAAATGCCTATAATTTATCTCAAAGTATCTGAAATAACAATTATATAACACCATTGCATAGTCAAGGACATGCACATGTATACATCTTTACATCTAGAGGAATAAATGGCAAAATATGGTAAAATGTTAGCATTTAGAAAACCCGGGTGACAGATATGAGAATTAAAGTTTACACTATTTCTGAAACTTTTCTACATTAGAGAAAAAAGAACATTTTACTTTGTAAATAACCCAAGTTGTTTTTCCAAACTGAGAGTTGATTACATTAACGAGATTTGGAAAAGAATGCAATAAAACCAAACCAAAAAAAAAAAAAGTTTTTTTTTTTTTTTTCGGTCTTTTTGAGACAGGGTCTCCCAGTAGCCCCAGCTGTCCTGGAACTCACTATGTAGACCAGGCTGGCCTTGAACTCACAGAGATCTGCCTGCCTCTGCTTCCCAAGTGCTGGGATTAAAGGCGTGCGCCACCACGCCTGGCAGCCAAAAACAATTTTAAAGATTATAATAGGAAAGATTAGCACAGCATATGAGCAATGTAGATTAGTAAGAATTTTTTTTGGATGTGAAATTTTTGTTTCAGCTCTACAAAGAAAGAGTATTTGGTTGCGTAGCCAACAAAAAGCTGGAAAGCCAGGCGCTGAGTGGACAGAAACTGAGCCAAAAGCTGGCTTCGCAGGGACCCCCCCTCCTCCTCCTCTTCCACCCCAGGCAGCCAGTAGCCTTCCACAACCCCCGCCCCCTACCTCACCCCACCCCGCCCGCCGGGGTCAGCTGCAGGTGTGCGCTTTAACCCTGAGCACCACGCACTGGGCGGAAGCTATTTAAGGGTCTGTTTCCCCTAATTTACCGCCACCTGCGCCCAGCCCTGTCCTCCAAGCGCTGCTGGAGACTCTCAGCACTCGGAACGCTTCCTGTCCCGTAACTGGTCCGCTGCGGTGGCATGGGCACTTTGGGTCCGCTCTGGGTTTTCTTCACTCTCGTCGTGCCTGGGGTTCTTGGTGAGCTGGGCGCGGGAGCGCGGATGTGGGAACTCCAGGGCTGGGAAGGCTTCTGTGTCTATCCAAAAGCTAGAGCTCAAACCTGGGAGCATTGCGCGACGCCAGCCTGTCTCCTGACAGCTTTGGAGAAGCCTACAGTCTGTAGGTCCACAACGTCCTCACCTCTTCTTGGATCACCAGAAGAGGAGGCTGAGACACGTAAAGGCACTTTAGAGTGTGCCTCGTGTTGTGGGCTTGCTCTCTCCTCCCTGGCTCCGGGACTCCTGGGGATTCAACAAGTGCGCACACATCTCAGCTCCACCCTCCGAAGCCTGACCACCTCACTGCTGAGCCCAAACCTCCCAAGGCTGTGCTCAAGGATCACAGCTCCCCAGAAATAATCTCCTGTTCTAGAAGGGTAGCTGAGCTCCAGCTCCCTTTCTTTAAAAAATAGCACCTGGTTCCCTAGCATGGTTCTCAGATTTTTTTTTTTTTATTAACTATGTCAGGATATTGGTAAATGTCTGGAGTTATTTTTTGAAGTTGAGATATGAATTAAAACTGTAGCGTCTGTGATGGTATCATCCTCCAGAGGGTATCCTTTAGCATTTTCTGTAAAAGTTTGTTTCCTAGATTGTCTTGCTTTTAAAGTAGTATCATTTGTTCTGATAATGAAATTCCTAGTTTATAAACCACTTACCATATGCAAACCTCAATAGCTGGGTGACTTTCGGCAAGTCGTTTAAAGCCCTGATCTTCACTTTCTTCAAATAAGAAATGAAATCATAAATGAGTTGTGCTACCATACCACAGAGCTATCCCAGAGTCGCAGAAATCAGGCCAAAGGCAGTTGAATATTGATACTTACTAAATGTCAGAATTAGCAGCTAATTCTGTCCCAGTCGTTAAGGGTATGAAATCATATGCAATGGTTCTGTTGCCATTTACTTCTATTGGAAAATAAATTCTAGGGACAGCAAGGACCTTGCTTCACATTCACTGATGAATGTTCTGTTCTTAGGATCATATCTTGGCTAATGCAAATCACTCTCATTAAAAAGCATTCATTAGACAGCCAGGAAACCCAGCATTAAGGTATTTGATTATAATTCTCATTCCCAATGATGATCTCCTCTTCCTGCTTTGTGACCAGCCTTTCAGTTTTATTTTTATACTGTGCATAAGTTCTTCATTCATTTCAAATAGATTTCTTTCTCTTTTTTTTTGGGGGGGGGGGCTCTTTTTGAGACAGGATCTCCCAGTAGCCCCAGCTGGCCTGGAACTCACTGTGTAGATCAGGCTGGCCTTGAATTCACAGAAATCCACCTGCCTCTGCCTCCCAAGTACTGGGACTACAGTCAAATGGATCTCTAAGCTGTCCATCCATGTAAAGCTCCTTAGACCCATGTAGTTAGCCGTATTCTGTTCTCCAGAAACATGGTTTGAGGGTGTTTATGTGTGTGTACTATTTTCTGTTTTATCTGATCTTTACTCCCGATGCTAGAAAGAAATAAAGGAAGAACAGTGACTCCCATGAAAATTTCTAACATGAAAGAGCTTACAGACTAATATTTCCATTTCTTTTTAAAAAATTGTATTGCAAGTTGGGTATAGTAGTACATGCCTTTAATCCAAGCAGGCAGATCTCTGTGAGCTCAAGGCCAGCCTGGTTTACATAGCAAGTTCCAAGCCAGCTGGGACTACAGAGAGACCTTGTCTCAAAAAGACCAAAAATAATTGTATTGAATTTTAAATTTTCATTGATTGATCGATTGTGGGAAAGGGTTACACATGCCATGCAGGTGTGTAGAAGTCAGAGGACAACTTGCAGGAGTTTGTTCTCTCCTTCCACCATGTGAGTCTACTCTCTTTCCTTTTCTGATTGGAAGTCAAAACAATCTCTGAAATTTCTGTACTGTGGCCTAAGACTTCGGCAATTTTATTACTAATGAGCTTTAGTGTCTCCAGTGAGAGACAGTTCAAGGTCTCATTACCAAGGATGAGGCTTCCATTAATCCTCACCCAGAAAGTATAATTCTTGCCTCCTTTCATCATGGAAAATTGTGTCATAAGCCCCCCTTTGCTTTTGCAGTTTCCAGATCTTGGATCCCTCCTAATCTTTGTTGCCTCTGGTTGAATCTTATGAATTTAAATGATGTCCCAGGTTGTAGAAGATGATTTGATGTTGTCCTTATTTATATTTGATAATCACAGATTCAACTGCTTGATTAGAGTAACTGATAGATGTGGCTTCACATCATGAAGTCTGTCTTCATTGAGTTAAAAGCCTCGCTTTCCTTGTGGAGTCGGCCATGTTTTGCAGAGACTGTATTAGGGGACATTTGTAGGTATTGACGGAAGAAACTGAAGGAGCTGAGGAAATAAACAAAAGGGGGTCCTACTGTCATATCTGGTTCCCAACAGTGATGACTATTTTAGATTCCCCAGTAGAAGCATGAAGGTTAAAACTGGGCCTGACTGCAGCTACGGGAACTCTGTGAATGTCTCTGGGTCAACAGATGTTCATTGTTTAACATACACCAGTACCTGTCTTGGGCTAGTTTGAATAAAAATGGAGAATTTTTTAATTGACATTCACTTTAGGTTTTGAAAAGTTTCACCACTAGGCACTTTTTTTTTTTTTTTTAAAAATATGTATGAGTGTATTGCCTGCATGCAAGTAGGCACACCCATGTCATGCAATGCCTACAGAAGTCAGAAGAGGGCATTGGATTCCCCTGGAACTGGAGTTACAGATGGTTGTTAGCTGCCATAGGGGTGCCAGGAATTGAACCCAGGTCCTCTGCAAGAGTAGCCAGTGCTCTTAACCACTGAGCCATCTCTCCATCCCCTAAGCACTTTTTATTGGCCTAGATTGCCATCTGGTCTGAAAGAAGAACGAGCTTATAAAATTAGGGAGTTGAAATTTGAGTCTTCATTCATATTTAGAAATATCACTTTTCTAAGGACATCCTTAAGTGTATAGTTGTCATAATTTCTTATCCATCTCTTCAGATGGCATTTATTTTATTAAAAAAAATATTTTTGTCTTTTTGAGACATGGTCTCCCTGTAGCCTCAGCTGGCCTGGAACACACTATGTAGACCAGGCTGGCCTTGATCTCACAGGGATCTGCCTGCTTTCGCCTCCTGAGTGCTGGGATTAAAGGCCTGTGCCACCACCCCTGGCTCAGCATTTACTTTTTACTAATAGTATTATTTTTAACCACTGGAATCTATCTTGCACTGACTAGTTCCTTTTCTTTTGTATATCAAAAATATTTATTAGCTTCTCTTTGGAGTTTTATTACTCTATTTGGTTAGAATAAAATAATAAAAATAATAAGTGAAATACTGAGGGGGTTGAGATAGAAGGATTCCAAGTTCAAGGTCAGCCTGGGCTTCACAGTAAGACCCTGTCTCAAAATATCAAAATTTTAAATAAATAATAAATAGATAAATACATGTAATGAAGAATGGATGTATTTTTCTCAATGCCCTAAAATTTTAATGATTAGAATAATTATGTAAATCAATTAAGGTAATTTTTAAGGTCATACATGTGCTGAGCTTTTACAAGATCTTTGTTGTATTTTAATATCCTATGCTAAACCCTAAAAGTTTTTATTTATAAGGTTTTTTTACTTGTAAAGTTCTAGTTTTTATCATAAATACCAAAGGGTGTTTGTTGGATGATCTTGTTCCATCTATTATGGTTTGGATATAAAATATTCCCCATAGGCTCATGTGTTTGAACATTTGGCCCATAGCTGGTGGACTGTTTTGTAGAACTTTAGGAGGTAGGGGATCTAAGGGGAAGAAGTAGGTCCTGGTGGGTAGACTTTGGAGGTTATTGCTCCTCCCCTCTTCCGGTCAAATTCTCTGCTTCCTGGTTAGTGTTACACAACCAGCAGCTGTTGCTAGTTCCTGCCTCCAATCCCCAAACTTCCACAGCTACATGCCTTCCCCACCATGAGAGCCATATCCCCTGAACTAAAAGCAAATCAACTTCCCCTTCCTTAAATTGTTTCTGTTAAGTATTTGGTCACAATGATCAAAAAATTAATTGATAAAAATAACTAATTCAACTTCTCTCCTCCCCCAAAATAATCAAAATGTATGCATTCATCATTTTATTAGTATATACTACTACTGAAGGCTAATTTCATGCAATTATATAGTGAAGTTTGAGTATATCACACCATTTCCCACTCCCTTGCCCATCTTCCACCTTTCCCCTCTTATTACTCCCTGTTGTTCTCCAGACAGTTTTGCTTCTACTTTCATGTCATCAATATATATATATTTTTATGTATCTATATACAATCTAGAATTCACAAGTGAAAGAAAACATGCTTAATATTATTGACTCCAGTTGTATCCGTCTTCCCACAAACAACATAACTTCATTCCTCTTTATGGCTGAAAAACCATATATATATATATATATTCTGTTGTTGGACACCTACATTGGTTTCATAACTTAGCTATTGTGAATGGTGCTGCATTGATGTTCAAGTACATCTATGATACGTTGACTGGCATCTTCTAGTTGATCACTGATAAGTGATATAGCTGGGTCATGTAGTAGATCTATTCTTAATTTGTTGAGGAATCTCCATACCTATTTTCATAGCAGCTGAGCTAGCTTACAGTCCCATCAGCAATGCCTAAGGAGTCACTTTTGTTAGCATCCTTACCAACATTTGTTATTTATTTTCTTAATGACTGCCCGCTCTGACTGAAGTGAGATGGAATCTCAATGTAGTTTTCATTTGTATTTCTCTGTTGACTAGTGATATTAAATTTTTTTTCATGTTTATTGGCCTTTTGTACTTTGTACTTTGTTTGAGAACTGTCTTTTCACTTCACTAGCCCATATAGTGAATGGATTTTTTTTTTTTTTGGTGTTTAGGTTTTTGAGTTGTTAGTATATTCTAGTGTTGATCTTCTATAAAATGTATGGCTAGCAAAGATTTTCTCTTCACTTGATTAATTCTTTTGCTGTACAGAAGCTTCTTAATTTCATAAAGTCCCATTTGTCAGTTGTTGGCACTGGAGTTCTAGTTAGAAAGTGCTTGCCTATGTTCATATCTTGAAGTGTTCTTCCTACATTTTCCTCTATTAGATTTAGGGTTTCAGGTCATACATTAAGTTATCTGTACTCATGTCTGAAGCTCTTTTCCATATGCCTTTCTTATTTTCTCCTGACCTTGTTGTATAAAACAAAGAAATGGACTGGAGAGATGATTCAGCAATTAAGAGCACTCCTGCAGAAGACCCAAGTTCGGTTCCCAGCACCCACATGGCAGCTAGCAACTATCTGTAACTCCAGTTTCAGGAGATAGGACACCCTCTTCTGTCCTTCATGGGCATTGCATGACACAGGTGTACTTACATGCATGCAGACAAGACACACACACACCTAAAATAAAAACAATAAGTAAAATACTTTTAAAAACAAAAAATAAAACCAAACTACAAAAAAACACAGTTTTTACTTAAAAGTTTATAAAAGGATGGAGTTGTATGAAAAATATTTTCTCCAGATCTTCCTCTGAAGTCTATCCTAAAAAGTCCTAAAAAGTCTTTGAGTTTCTTTCCCTAAATGTCCATCCATAATACAATGATTGTTTCAGACAATATTGCTCTAGTTGACTTATTTTTAAAGATCAAAGTTGTTAGTATAATGGGTGACAAGAGAGAAGCAGGGAGGCTTTAGCCTTTCTTAGTTTTGATATTTCTGTGATCCTTGTGTCTCTAGGTCAGTGTAAGTTGCTGCCCAAGTTTTCATTTGCTAAGCCTCATATTGAGATTGATCAGTCTGAGTTTGCTGTTGGAACATCTTTGGAATACAAATGTCTCCCTGGGTATACTAAGAAATCATTCTTTATCACCTGCCTAGAGACCTCCAAGTGGTCAGATGCTCAGCAGTTCTGTAAACGTGAGTACTTCTGCAAGGCTCTATCACTGTGGTATCTATATAGGATGTCATGGCAAGCAAAGGTGTTCCCAGGGTCTCCATGTTTCCTTTTACTTCTGAGAGTCCTGATTATTTGGTTGAAGTCATCAGCACGACCAACCTGATTTATTCTATCCTTTTATGACTCCATTCTATGATCTCTATATTGTATTAGAAAGAGATTCGAAGTTAGTATACAAGAAATATCAGTTTCATCTCATTCTTACTCCATTAAAACCAATAAATATTTTTATTTACTAACAGGTATTAGCACTAGACTAGATAATAGAGCTTGGAAGAGACAACAGAAATTATACACATACACGTGTGTGTGTGTGTGTGTGTGTGTGTGTGTGTGTGTGTGTATGTATTAAAGTCTTAACCTAAGGCCTTACACATGCTAGGCAAGCACTGTATCATAGAGGTGTATCCCAACCATTACAATATTATTTAATAATAAAAGTAAACTGCTATGTGGTCATATAGAAATAAATAGTAAACACTATCTAGGAGAATTAGGGAAATTGAAGCCTTCTAGGTAGGGATGTTTTGTATATGCAAAAACATAGAGGAATGAAGGAACATTATATCTTTAGAAAAACATTTTAAAATGAGTGTGGTTGGATTACACAGTGCAGAATATAGTTGGTCAAGTAAACTGGCACTTAACTCTAAGACCATGCACATTTTTCCTATGAATAATGGTAAGCTACTGTAAGTTTTTATATGGCATGACCACATTTGTACTGTTAAAAGGAAATGCCACTATGGAAGAGGTACTAGACTAAGGCATGCCACAATTACAGAGGTAAATTCTATCACTCAATAATCCAGTGAAACTACGATGTGCCAAAATAATTAGCTTGGAAAAAGGGTTCTGGAATATAGCCACTAAAATTTGGTAATGAATTGAATTGAATGAAAGACAAGGAATAGAGGGTGAATTATAGAAAGGGAATGATAACTGTGGGTTTTTTAACCCAGAAGACTTGATAGATGATGTCATCAACTGGCAGAATAAAAAGGAGGAAATGGTGATTTTAAATAAAAATTGACAACAGATGAAATTTTCCTCCATGTATAGAAATATAGGCCATATATTTTAAACAATGTTCCAGAATTGACTGATCCTTGGGAAAGTATAGATTTTGCAAATGTCAAAATTTGAGTAATCATCTGCATGCTCATTAGCAAGTCCAATCAGGTTGGAATTTAATAGAAAACATACAAAGTCTTCTCAACCCCAGCCCCAAATCCTGTTTTGTTTCCCTTGTAGGTAAATCATGTATGAGTCCTAAAGAACTCCTCCATGGCTCCGTGCTTATACCCACGGATATCAAGTTTGGGTCAACAATTACATATTCTTGTAATAAAGGGTGAGTAGGCAGGAGGCCTCTGTAGGTTGTATAGGTCCTAAAACAGTAGTTCTAACTAGAAACCCTTTAACATAAAAGAACACAAAGTCATGGTGTCCTTGACTCACTCCAGAAAAAAACACTTCAGCATTACCCAGTACAGAACATCAGACTTCATTTGGATATAGATTGTTGAATCTATTAAGTCCTCAATCCATCACTATTACCATCATACATAATATTCTTTTTTCGTTCCTTACAGAAGAAACTAGGTTTTTCTAAAGTACAACTGGGATGTGATCAGACACCCTTTTGCTTCTAGATATCGACTCATTGGTGATTCATCTGCTACATGCATTGTCTCAGACAATATTGTAATCTGGGATAAGAACATGCCTTTTTGTGAATGTGAGTAAAATGATCTCTTTATGGCATCTTACTAAATTTCTCATATTACCTTCCAAAGGGAAACTGAGCATCTGCACATTAAATGATAACCTGAGAGGTTTTACTAGGTTTGGGTAGTTCTGGACATAGCTCTGCTTTATGTTCGTCCATGATTTCTAATCCCATCACACTTTTCTATTAACATTCATTAATGATCTCATTTCATAGTGAATAAATCTTTAAATCTAAAATATACCATGAGATCACACATTGGCAAATGTATTCCATGCAAAAAAATAGGCTATCTAGATGTCTTTAGTAACAGAATCTGTTCTCAGAGCTTTTTGAGTTTTTATTATCCAGTTCCCTGAATTCTCCTATATGGTTTATTTTTATTTAGATCAAGAAACAGAATTTCAGTAATACAGAGAAACTGTAGGCAGAGTTTAAGTTTGACTTAAGAGAATGAAGGCAAAATTCTCAGAAAGGGAGGCTAAAGAGATAGTTCAGTGGTTAAGAATGTATACTTCTAGAGGCCCTGAGTTTGGTTCCCAGTGCCCACATCAGGTGTCTGCAAATGCCTATTATAACAAGATTTTGTGGGCACCTGCATTCACATGTATATACCCACACAGAGACACACAAACATACATATAATTAAAATAAATCTTTCAAAATGCTCACAAAGTATAACATCTCAATGCCTTCTCTCTTCTCTTAACTATCTCCCCCCAAAAGCTATTCCTTGTGAGTCACCTCCAGCCATCTCCAACGGGAACTTCTACAACAACAATAGAGACATCTTTTCCTATGGAGTGGTAGTAACTTATCATTGCCATACTGGACGGAATGGGGAAAAGCTGTTTGACCTAGTGGGTGAGGAGTCAATATATTGCACCAGCAAAGACAATCGAGTTGGCATCTGGAGCAGCCCACCCCCTCAGTGTATTGCTATAGTCAAGTGCCCAATTCCAGACATTGAAAATGGAATTAGGGTATCTGGATTTAAACGCTTCTTCTCATTAAATGATTCAGTAATGTTTAAGTGTAGCGTTGGCTTTACTATGAAAGGCAGCAGTATAGTGTGGTGCCAGCAAAACAGCAAATGGAACCCTCCTCTTCCAACATGCTTCAGGGGTAAGTTGGGCTGAAAATTTGAGAATCTGTAAATAAAATTGTTTTGTTTTTGACAAAATAGATATGTGCTACCTGTGGAAAGAGGAGAAAGATGTTGTTGAATTTCCAAGTTAAAAAAATCTTAAGTAAACTTTGGAAGTTATATCTAAGTTGAAGAGATAAGAATTTTTTAATATTCTAGGACAATATTGTATTTGCATTGGTGTAGGAAAAAACATGACATTTTTAAGCTTTCAAAATGGATTAAAGTCAAAATATGGTACATGAAACTACTAAAAGAAAATTGGTATTCTACTTCAGAACATTGAATTAGGTAACATGCTTTTATTTTGTATTTGGGGGAGTGGGTTGAGACAGGTCTCCCTATAACCTCAGCTGGCCTGGAACTCCCTATGTAGCTCAGGCCAGCCTTGATCTCACAGAGATCTGTCTGCCTCTGACTCCTGAGTGCTGGGATTAAAGGTATGTGTACCACCATGCCTGACATAGGCAATATGCTTTTGATAAGACCCTGAAACACATAGGAAGCAAAGGCAAAAATCAGAAAATGGTATTACTTCAGACTAAAAAGTTTCTATACAAAAAAAAAGAAACAGAGTGAAGAGATAACATATAGAGTAAGAGAAAATATTTTCAAACTATGCATCTGACAAGGGTTAATATTCAGACTATATAAGGAACTGAAACAACTCAGCACAAGAAATCCAATTTCAAAATGGACATTACACATACAAAAGGACAACTATACAGAAATGTCTAATATCACTAATCATCAGAGAAATGCAAGTGAAAACCATAATGACATGTGATTTCAGTTAAAGCGATTGTTATAAAAAATACAAAATATCGGGCCGAGGAGATGGTTCAGTTCATAAAGTGCTTGTTGTGCAAGCATGAGGACTTGTGTTCAATCCCCAGAGCCCAAGTAAAAAGCAGGGTGTGATGACATCTGCTTGTAATTCCAGCACTGGGGAAGCAGATCCCTGGAGCCTAGCCTAGTTGGAAAGTCACAGGTCTCATTGAGAGATTCTGCCTTAAAAATTAAGACGATGAATTGAGCATGATAGTGCACACTTTTAATCCTAGCACTCAGGAGGTAGAGGCAGGTGGATCTCATGAGAGAGGAGGCCAGCCTGGTCTACATAGTGAGTTCCAGGCCAGCTGTGACTATGGGGAGACGCTGTCTAAAAAAATAATAATACTAAAAGATAAATGGCCTCTACACACATGCATACACATGCATGCAAACAGAACCTGAGCGTTCCCTGTCTGCCCCTTCTCTCTCTCTCTCTCTCTCTCTCTCTCTCTCTCTCTCTCTCTCTCTCACACACACACACACACACACACACACACACACACACAAATACAAAATATAGCAAATGTTGAGAATACAGAGAAAAGTCAGACTAGATAGGGGAAATAAGTTCTGGTATTACTACCAAATAATAGAATAGTCACTGCATATTATGATAATGTACTAAGAAGAAAAGATTTTGAAAGTTTTCACTCCAAAGAAATGATAAATTTGAGAAAATAGATATATTTACCTTCATTTTCATATTACACAATACATTCAGTTATCTGAACATAACGTAGTATCATAAATATGTACACTTATATCCATTAAAGAATAAAATTAATCTTAAAACACAATAGCAAAGTCAATATTTCAAGCTATTTTATTTATTTATTTTTTATTTTTATTTTATGTGTATTATAAGTATTATGCCTGCATGTAGGTAAGTGCACTCGTGTCATGCAGTGCCCGTGGAGGACAGAAGAGGCTTTCAGATACCCTGGAACTGGAGTTACTGGACAGTTGTTAGCTGCCATATGGGTGCTTGGATTCGAACCCTGTTCTTTTGCAAGAACAGTCAGTGTTCTTAACCACTGTGCCATCTCTCCAGCTCCTAGAGCTATTTTCAATAATTACATTTTATTTAAATGAGGATAAAGTAAACTCTTCCTCTTTTTTTTTTCTTTTTCTTTTTTTTTTTTTTTTTTTTTTTTTTTTTTTTGGGGGGGGGTCCCCTTTTTCCCCCGGTTCTCC